TTATAAACGCCCATTGTACTGTTCTCACATACGGAAATCTCGACCCAAGACTAACCTTTGCCAGCTTTTAGTATATGAGCTAGCCCCCAGCTTAAAAAAATGGATAAAAACTGTATAATCAACTACTTTATCTATTGAAAAAAATAATGAAGAGACTTACGGGTTCTACTGGATATTTCGAGGGCCCAAATAAAAATTCAACAGTTCTCAAACATAATTTAAGAGTAGTAATAGAATGCATACAAAAAGTTATTTGGATTTGGAATGAAAGTCTGGATGATGAGAGCAAAACACCAATTCCAGCCCACCTAACTAGATTCTGAAATAAATAATAGCGAATAATAGTTATTTTTTATACAAGACGATAAAATGGTATTTTGTCGTTGACCGAAATAATTAATTCACGACCGATAAAATCTCGAGTGAATATTATATAACGCAATAATTTTATCGTCGTGTATAAAACAATATTTTTTTCCATAGCGAGTTACGTTTTAAAAAATATTCAGAAATTATTATTTCAAGGAATTTATTACGAGTAGAGAGAGAAATTCCAGCAGAACAGAGAAATTCCAGCAGAACAAGCAGGTTTCACCAAGAGCAGAGGCCCTCGGGAACATCTTTTGAATATGCGCTAAATCATAGAGAAAGCAAGGGAATTCAACATCCCTCTTTATATTTGTTTCGTAGACTATAAAAAAGCTTTCGATAAAGTCAAATGGCATCACCTTATTTTACTTATCGCCAGTTGTATCAGCACACTACAGGATCGGTTAGAATACTGGATTCAGCTTCAAAGGAATTTTCCCTCGAACATGGGAAGGAGGCATTTCAATAAATGGCCAAAAAATAAATAATCTACGCTTTGCGTATGATACAGCACTACTCGCTAGCAGTCAAGAAGAGTTAATCAATTTAGTAAATAGGGTAGAAAACGAAAGCAATCGGCTCGGTCTGGAACTAAATACGCAAAAACCAAAATCATGATAGTTGATAGGCAACATAACAACCATCCAAATATAAGTCATATCGACCGCTTTGAAGTCGTTGAGTCATACGTATAGCTGGGATCACTATTGACAAATACAGGCACATCGGAAGAAGAGGTGAAGCGTAGGTGCAACATGGCAAAGGTAGCTGTTGGGAGACTGACCAAGATCTGGAAAGACCTCCAGATTTCAAGAGCCACCAAAAACCGGCTAGTCAACTGTTTGGTACTCCCAATATTGACGTATGGCTGCGAATCGTAGACTCTCAGGCAGGCGGAACGTAAGAAGAGCGATGCTATCACGATGTATTGTTATGGACGTATCCCCTAGGAGATGCAAGACCTTGTCGTTGGTGGGGAAGCTCCTGGTCAGGTGCTGGGGGGAATCCCCTCTAGCACTTGGCTTGGTCTAAGAAGCATCTCACTCATCGTCTTGTCCCTGACTGTAGTGTCGTGGCCAGGGAATTGCACCAAGACATATAACGATACCGGGCGGGGCTACGGACAGCCTCAACCTTGGGGCATCGGGGGGCACCCCATTGTATTTTACCCCTTTTTTCTACATGCGGGGCTCTGTAGAAGTGGACCGACTGTCCCTATCATGGGAACACTATGAGATCTGGTAATAATAGTAATACAAACATCACCGGTGAAGCTGTGGGGAAACTCCCTAGCGACACTGGGAACAGTAACAATGAAAGTTCCAAGGGGCCAAACCCAAAGAGAACTATAGGAGAGGTGGCTGACACTTGCGTGAGACCATCCTCCGCAAGTGGCATACAAGTTACCACCTCCTCCAAGGGTCGGGAGCCTACCTCCTACCTCTAAACCCAACAGGCGACACAAGCTACCGTTTCGTCTACCCGGCCTGGGTCGTAGCTCCTCGACTGTGAGGGACACGGGTCTCCGTAGGAAGTCCTGGGACTGTATGATGAGTTATAACTCAAGAAAGGGGGACACAATAGATCTCTAAGGCCGCAGGTATTAACCCCCCTCCCACTTATTCTATAGACGTATGCTCGTATCCCATGGACTGAAGCGCCGTACAAACGTTTCCATTATAAATGAACTTAATATTACTAACAGGCTTTCCTGCAAAATCCGACTAAAACAACTAAAATATTTTGGACATATAATGAGGAAAAGTCCGGACAATATGGAAAGACTCATAATTCAAGGCAAGGTGGATAGACGTAGACCACGTGGCCGCTCTCCAACTCGATGGATAGACCAGATCACGACTAGCTGTAGCAAGCCAATGCACGATGTCATCGAGATGACAAAAGACAGAGGCGCATGGAGAAAAATCATCCATGACGTTACACTACACTCCCTAATGGGGGTCAGGACTGAAGAGAGAGATTACGAGTAGAAAAAATATTGCGATTAAAGTACTATTTTATCTACTATTTTTGATAGATATAAGACAATTTTAACAGTAGCTATGGAAAAAAAAATATTTAAAATATCTAAACACAATCAAGAACTTCATCATAAATTACCAAAACTATTAGACCAATCAGTGTGGGAATATACGGATATTTGATATAAACGGCTGGGCTCAGTAGAAGGGCATTTTTTATATATTTCTCAGCATCTTCTCCTCTAAGTGCCCCGTATATCATCATGGTAGTACCACCCATGGAATGTCCAACGTACGTCATTTTCTTACCCGTCATATTATAGATATACTTGAAATTTGCTGGTAGATCATATAAGGCATTTTCGTGAAAACTATAGAGAAAAAAACAGATATTTTAGTCCCATACGATCGAAAAAAAAACACGTCACAGAGGAATAACAATCGATGATAATTTCCAGAAAAAATATTTTTCTGCAAATAGATTTATATGTCTGGAAACGTTCTGTCCTTTTTTTAATCAGTTCTGGCAAAAGTTTTATGTCAGTTTTTCGCCAAAATTATCATACATTGTCATTCTCCATTCCCATATGGTATATAAAAAGTATATCTAAATAATTAGATACCAATGAAAAATTGATTTAGAAAATTTAACCTAAAATCCCAATATTTCGGATCATTTCTGGAAATGGCCTCGTGGGAACAGAACTCAGCGTCTCTAAAATTTCCCATCCACACATCGTAGCCGTGTTTGGTAAAGTAGAAAACTAAAACATACATATATGTTATTCTACAGAGTATCTATTAAATATATGCAAGTAGGTTAGTTTTTTTTCTTTACTTTTCCTAGAAATTAAAAAAAAACTCTCCTTAACTTTCTTGACGGTGTATCGAAAATCTTGCATTGTTGCCATGTCCTACGTTACTCCCATTCTGAAGTGTGTTTATTAGTTCACAGTTATTTTAATTTCCTACACAGTAAATTACAAAAAGTAATTAATAAAATATTAGTGGGACTACTCATAATTCTAGAAAAACACACTGTACATATTTTTTAATACATTCTAATACTTTTTATAGTTACTTTCAACTAAAATGAAGGAATAAATCTTAAAATGTTTCGCTGATTCTCTTATCATCACGTTACAAAGTATTTTTAATTAAAATTAAGTTGCTTTTCGTGGGGAATCTCCCCAAAAAAGATAGCATATGTAATCACCCTATATAGTACATTTTTAGCCACTGAACAGTTCACTAATTAAAGTACCATACGATTGAAAAAAAAAACGGCGTCACAGATGGCTTGGAAATGAAGAACGCTGTCATTTTATATGTAAAATTTTACGGGGATTGTCATCGATCGTCGTATATCCAGGCCAACTGGACGCCGTTTTTTTTTTCGATTATACTTTATATACTAGTTTACTATCTGACTTACCTATAGAATTATTCCCATTGCTCATGTAAGACCTTGAATTAAGCATGAGACCATGTTGAAAAAATATAACTTTGCTCCCATAAGAATTATCAGTCATATTTCTCACCCTGTATGTTGTCAAAATATACCCATCGTCAGTTCTAACTCTGTGACTTTCTAGCATATATCCATATGATTGTGCAATGAGTTCCTATGATATCAAAGATAATCAAAATATGTATACAGGGTGTAGGCTAAACAAAAGGCGTCTATAAATTAACCCTTTATAGGGCAGTACTAATTATTTTCTGGTTTGATCAAATTATCTTCAAAAACCAAAATATGAAATATATTCTATAGACTATATTCCATATTTTCATTCTCATTTTTAAAAAAAAAATACTTACTGGAGGTGAGTTTACATCCAGGATACTTTTGCAATGGTTATTTTTGACAGAATAATCAAAATATGCCTCCAATGTATCACATACTTTATTTTTTTCATCACTTAAACTATAACTTATTGAAAAACACAATATACCGTATAAACTTAAGTATCCTGACATATTTTTATTTCAATATGTCTCTAAAAAAAATAAGTTTATAATTAATTTGGTATATGAAATAAAAATATATTTGAAAAAATGAAAAAATATATAACTTTAAAGGTGTAGTAATAAAAAAAAATGTTATTGCTTTTTTACTGTTGAAAATATATATAAAACATAACGTTAACATTTTACAAGCTATTAATAATACAAGGTTCGGCAATAGTGAGTCGGGCATCTGTAATTCCTAGAATAAAAAAGTTGAAAACCTATTAAAAAATTTTGAAATACTTTAAATACATACAATGTTCATATTTTAACTCCCTTTGAACACCCTGTATGATTTAATATTACAATATTTATAGCTAAGTAAGTATAGACCATTTAAAGTAAATACATAATATACTGTTGATTTCAAGACAGGTCTTGTTTTTGTAAAAAAAAATTAGGAAAGGTTGACAAATACAGGGTGAGTTTCCTTCTCTATGGGTATCTCGGAAACTACTGGAGATAGAGAGTCGGTTAAATGGGGAAAGAATTGCAGTTTACGCTTTTCTTCATTTGAAAAATTCATATTTACAATTTTTGTTTATTTTAATTTACAAAGATTGGATGTGACAGCTTCACAT